GACGGACGGACAGACAGACATGGCTTAATCGATTTCTTTTTTCATCCTGATCATTTATGTATACATTTGTCTATATCTATCTCGATTCGTTTTGGCTGTTACAAACAACCGTTATGTGAACAAAATTAATATACCCTTGTGCACAAGTGCGCTCGGGTATAAAAAATCCTCTACCCTCTCGGCTGCCAGCCTAATGCTTTGACCACTCGGCCATTGCGACTCTTCGGGCAGCGCGGCAAAAGGCATACGTAAACGCTATCAGTTGACTGTCTGTGTTTGCTTTCACCACACATTTTTGGTGAGCTTTTTGTGACTCTCCCCTTCTGAATACCCAAATCGTCTCAAGTCACAAAAATAGTCACTAATTGCTAATCTCAAATTTAGTGACTTGAGATGAGACTGAATTACTGAATCCCAGGGTTAATCAATGTATGCAGGGAGATCGGTATATTGAATACATACATTATATACATTTTTCTTAACCTATGTTTTCTAACAAAATTTATATAAGAGTGTTTATATGGATACGTTTGCCTTGCACATTCAAGGAAGACGATCTAGTCATATGCAGTGGGAGAAGTTTAGGCTCAATGTGGCCATCACTCCCTATCGCCGAAAATGCTGTTGAACTCTCTGAGGGATTTGGGTTTCCAGGAATTGTTGTGATGAGTAGAGGACACCATAGGTCTCGGTGTAAAACTCACTTTGTTATATATTTATCTATCTTTATGGCGTACCGAATGAATTTGGTATCCCTGCGAAACTACTTAATACGTATTTTTCAATTGCCTGCCGATCCCAAGTCACCGTACTTATTTTTACGAAAGTTCTTCCCGATCTTTAAACCTTCCGTAAGGAGCCCGAAATCTCTGGAAAATTTCTCGGACGTTCTTTCTCTGGGCCAGCATCTTAAGCAAAATAGCGCACTTTTTCCCTTACAACACTACGCACTTTTTCACCTACCTTTAAAACCAACTGGCCAACTCTGGTTAATTACCGAGATTTGTCGTTGCTTTGCATACAACTCGCTATCTTACCTGGTGCTCGCTTTCATCTCGTTTACTAAAGTTGGGTCCAATAATATGTAAATAAACAGTTCAGTCACTCAATGAATGTAATGAGCAATGTTGCCAGATTCACAGTTTTAACTGTAAATGACAGCTGTTTAAATTACCTTCCAGTACAAATAACAGTTTTTTCTTCGATATTACCGACGAATAATTATTCACTGAATTAATTAGCGATTTAGATTTTTTCGAGCTATTTTTCTCTATTAAAAGACTATTGTAGGATGAAAGTGTCTTCCCTAACCGTACCTTTGCATAAATGATAGAAATAATTTCGGTAAGCTATTCTTAAAGCATTAACTGTACATATTTGTATATACATACATACATACATATTGCTTAATATCTGCTATTTGACTTGACCCTATTTGACTTGACTATCCGCTCATGCCGTGCCATCGCGCCATAAACATAATAACTAACTGAACATAATTGACAACTCAGCAAATAAGTTAAATTGACTGTGATGAGCGTTTTTCCAGCAAAATTCCGAAAGTTTATTTTTTTTTATACATAATTTACTTACGGTTTGCCACCTCTCCACTCTCTCGTCACAGCTACTTATGTCACATCAAAGGATAATCCCTGGTTCTATTGCTGGATAGTAGCGGCCATTGTGTCCTCCTGTTATGCCTACACGTGGGACATTAAAATGGATTGGGGCCTATTCGATGCCAAGGCTGGCGATAATCGCTTTTTGCGTGAAGAAATTGTCTACACGTCGACGGTAAGTGTACATACATACATACATACCTATGATTATTGTATTCATTGTTGCTAAATTATTTGGTGTAAAGGCAGTGTCATACGATTGGCACTTTTTGATAGATTTGCACATTCTTTATATTGGGCTATTTTTTTTTTTGTAATCACACGATTGGTACAATACAGCGAACTTATATTGAAAAATTTTTACAAATTGTTTGTCCTGATTGGGATAAAGAAAACTACTAGCGATTGGGATATGATTTGCAGCAAATATTTTTGGCAAACGCTTAATCGTCTGACACTGCCTTAAGAGAAGCGAAGAAGCAAAATATTGTTGGTTAGACTCCAAACAGTTTCTTTGCAGCTGTCAGTTATAAATTTGCATTGGTTTTATCCAATTAAGCAGCTATTATTAGATATTATTTCGTTTGTGCGTTTGTAAGTGTATATGTGTGCATAAAAAATTCCATTGCTTTTATTTTATTTTACTTCTTCTGCATTTCAAAGTGGTTCTACTATTTTGGCATTGTGGAGGACTTGGTGTTGCGCTTCGGTTGGACAGTTTCGATGAGCCTAATTGAGGCTGGTTACATGGAGGGCGATGTTATGATGACCATACTCAGCCCATTGGAGGTATTCCGACGCTTCATATGGAACTATTTTCGCTTGGAGAATGAGCATTTGAATAATTGTGGCAAATTTCGTGCTGTACGCGATATCTCAGTGGCGCCCATGGATTGCTCGGATCAGGTGAGTGAGTGCCTTCTAATTGGGTGTATTAATTGGCACATATATCAAGCGCAGCTGACTACTAAAACCTTGAATATATATGTACATATTCTGTCGCAGAAAGTCAGCGCTTAACAAAAATATTGTCAGCCGTTTTTCATGGCTAAGCGAATTGAATGCGAAAAGTCTGTGCTTTTTCATACTCTGAATGTATTCTTATTAGGCACATACAGATGTACATACAAAGACGTTTAGGTAATTGAATTTTTTTGTGACGCCTTTCTTTTTCTTATGCACCTTGACAGACGACAATTCTCCGCATGATGGACGAAGAAGATGGCGTGGTGAATCGACGTGGCAAGACCAAAGGTATGTCGAAGAAGAAGGAGCAACAACGCCTGTTGCTGCTGCAAGGCGAATCCGTTGAAGATTTATGCTCCTAAGTGGCCAATAACTTTGCTTTGTTTTATATAAAATAGCACAAATACAAAATTGAGTGGTTGGTTTGTTGTTTTTAGTTTAGTTGAATGCCAATGAATATGCCAACTAAATGTTTTACTAAATAAATGTTCGCATGCATATGTATGTGTGCGAAAAAAAAGGTCCTGGCTTAAGTGACGGAAACGTAAGAACAAAAGCAAATTTCATGCTTAACTGCAAGCTCAATGGTGTAATTTATGCCATTTCTTTCTCTATGTGAATGTAGATTCTTTACTCATTAAGGCCAGCGAAATATATTGCAGTACTTAGATAAAAAGCTAAACCGTTTGAAGTTAAATATATTCGCACATAAACCACATATATTTATATTTATACTTATTTACGTATGTATGTATTTATGTACATTCGTGCGCGACCCTTTTTGCTAAATATTTTGTAATTAATGCTAAATAAATAGAAATTCAATCAAATTAAAAATTTAAATACACATAAGTACTACTTATATTTACATAAATTACTTTGTATTTACGTACAGGCGTATATCTCTTTAACGGTTTGATTGCATTTGCTCTTGTTTCGGCATAATGTTTTTTTTTTTCTACGAAAATACTCTCTAGTCAAAATATTTAATTGTTGTATCAAAATATTTACATATGTACATACATTCGTATTTATGTATTTATGCCTAGGTTTTGTGAAATTTATATGTAAATAGCTTCAAATGTTAAATAAATAGTTGGAAAAATGTTATTCAATGTAAGTGGCTATTAATTTGATGGTAAATACATTTAGTATGGTAATGTATGGAATAGTGATAATTTTACGAAATAATTGGATGACAGTAGTGGAATTATGACAATCGCTACGCTATATTTTCCTCGCTAAACTACTCTAAATGAAAAGCAGCAGGGCCTAAAAGTATACAACATGGAAGAGTAACACATGCGATGCGTAATCAGCCAAATATGACAGTGTAGCGGGCATGCAACTGGATGTTGCGTGTTGTTAGGGGTGGCTGCTATTCTTTTGAAGAGCTTTGGCGCTCAAAATTTGCGATAGCAAATGTTGGAATACGGCTGCAGGATTGTCAAGGCGACTTCAACTACTAGCGCCTAAATTTATACTACAACCTCGATAAAACCGTATAAAAAGGACAGCTACAATATATATATGCTAAGCTGCATGTGGAAAAAATTCATATCACATATTTTTACATATGCACTTCTCAAGTGTCACATAAGAAAAATTATTGAAGTACATAATAGGCAGCAATAACATCTACATTTTCCCAGACGGGCAAGCGGCTTTAACTGGGTGACTAGAATGGCACTAAGAGTTGTCAAAACTTAAAAAATTCTGAAAGCTCTAAACAGTCCACAACATGAAGCTGTGGTTGTGTTGTATTATTGTGGCTGTGGTAAAGGTTGAGTCAATTTGAACTTTTGTGGCGACAATGGCTGGAAGTAAAATAAAATAAAGGATTTGTATGGAATTTAACGCATCCGCTCAACAAAAATATTAAAAAGAAGTCGGGATCATGCAAATACAATGTAGATGATTTTTTTGTAAAATTTTTTGGCATTTGGGAACTACGCTCTTATTTTTCGAAAAAGGAACTTTCTGATACTACTTTTTCTCTGTTTAAACTTTATTTAAAACGCTAAAACGCACACCAAACAGAAACAAAATGTCAAATGAATTAATTTTAAAATGCTTTATATCAGCAGAATAAATTAGTTACAAGTATTTTTGATACTTTATTTAACTTATTTTTATAATTTTATGTAGATTCGCCGAAAGCCGCGTCTCACATGGCAACACTGGTATCAGTTTGACAGCACTTTGAGCAGAAATGAAAGTTGCTAGTGCAAATTGAAATTATTTGCCGAAAGCGATTTGGGTCTTTCAGTTGCAGTTACACTTTGCAATTTTTATTTTGGAAAGTGATTCCTGCAAATCTGCAACAAGAACTTTTTAGGTATTTGTACGAGAAAGTGGACTTTCGCTTTCACACTTTGACAGCAAAATGCGTAGAAAAAGCGCTTGCATTGCTACGTCTAACCGCACTTTAAGCTTAGAAGTTGATGGCATCTCAATTCATGCGTAGCTTCTCTTATATCCCTTTTATGTAGAGGCGGTAACTAATGGTTACCATTGGCCACAGTGCCGGCCCAAAACGACATTTTTTTTTATTTTTTTTTTGATGCACATATGCATCTAAATGCTCTAGAAGCACTTTTGTATTCAAATAAAAAAAAATCGCTAACGTTTTTTTCGCGGTTAGGGCTCGATATACAAATCCATGAAAATGGTGCGGCGGAAACGTATGTTACAGACAATAACCGAAAATTGTTTTGAAACGAATACGTTTTTGGCTGTATTTCTGAAATTTGTCTTATTGAATTTTTCGTTCAATACGATGCACTTCACTGATGCTTTCTCATGGCTCGAAAAAAAAAACTTAAATAAGGCAACGCCTGAGGGCATTCGAACGCGCCGCACCTTCATCATCATTTTCAAACGTTTTCCGGATACAAAGATGAATGAAAATTTAAGTCGTTCTCTGTTCGTTTCTGGATACTTAAAATTGTACGAAACCGCACTGTCGACAAAATTGACGTATCTCTGCTCGTTGGAAAGTCATTGTTTTTCCATCGCCGTTCAAGTTGACGTGGCAATTATCCCTGACTGCTGGGAATTGTGCAATGAACAGTAAAAATAGAATGAAAATTGATTTAACACGGTTGTTTTCAGTAGTAAAAATAAAAAAAAATAAGTGTATCTAATTTTCTTTAAGGAGCTAAGGAGCAAATAAATTTTTTAGCTCTTTGATCAACATCAGGGCGTCGCCACAAATCGGTGGAGAAGCTCGGCCAAACACTATTAATCTGAATCTGTGCTGAAAGCATGAATATCCTATTTAAAAAGTTTGAATATGCACATTATACACTAACGTACATATCTTTAAAATGCAATACCATATTGTTAAAAAAAAGTATGTGATACTGTATAACAAATAACACTAAATATAATATCAAATAACATTGAAATGAAGGCATGACCGGAATGCTTGTGAAAAATCGAGCGGGAAAGCTTTGTGCAAGCATTTTATTTGTGCATTTTTACGCATATTTGAGGTTTTTTTTTTAAAGTATGACAGGGCGTATGATGAACATTTTGATGAGGTGAGAAAGTCGTAAAGGCATATCGACAATTTAAATTATAAAAAGTCTTGAAATTTTTAGTAACGATAACGAATATTTACTTAGGCCGCATACTAAAAAGTTGAGCTTTGAATTAATTTTTTTAATTTTATTATTTTCGCTTTAAATATACATAAAATTGTTCGAACTACATATTTTTAAACATTCTATTCTTTGCCCAGAAAAAAATATTACAATGCGAATATTTTCCCATGCATAAACGTTTGATGATTCATAAGGCATGAAGGGAACTCTGCTTTCAGCATAGAAGAGGGTCAACCAGGTAGCTCAACGTAAAGTGGAATTTATTTACTAGAATATTATTTTGTACTGACACTTTTTTTTACAAAATCTAAAATGACTTAGCTTTATACTCACTAGAATCGTCTACTTAATGTTTAACATCAATTAAGTTAAACTATTAATGAATATACACAACCATTTATAATACGAGTACCGTGTCAAGGCTAATAACCCCTGAGTGAGTGCATAAACACTTTTGTAAACAACAACACTTTGCGCTATGAGCTAATCTTCGACTAAGTTGTCGTGTATAAAAATGTTCTTATACGTTGTTAAATGAAATAAAGGTCGTAGGACCGTAGCTAGGTGCTGTTGCTACTTTAACAGACTG